GGACAGGGACGACGAGCTTGCCGACCAGGCCGGGTGGGGATACTGAGAGCTAGGAGGAACTACATAGTCGATACGATAGAGAATCAAAGCGCGGCGTTTTGGCAAAATCAGCGTCATGCACGTATCGTTCATTGATGCAAGACTAATGGCAAGTCGACAACTTTTCGCTTCATAGCTCGCCCGGACGTACATGTATCCGCATGCTCCTTGAGCCACGGCAAGCGACTTCCTGCCTCAATCCATCGCACATCTCCACTGCACCAGCCAGCTCGAACACTATCACTCATTTATCATGCTTCCCCCTTCCCCCTTCCCCTACGTCTTCTGTCTCTTCTGCTCATGTTCCCCACCCTCCTTCTTATGCTCATCCTCAATGATATTCCCATCCTCATCCATGCGCTTACTCTCCTCATTGATCCCATCCCACTTGGGCACCCCATCCTTGATATCCACCACGCGCCTCGAATAAAACATGTGACACTCGGGCTTGAACGCCTCGCGGCCTTCCTTGGAGTTGATGCCCTCGATCAGCGTCGGAAACAGCAGGATCATGTTGCGTCCTTCATCCATGATGGGCGTGCGACAGTAGGCACAGCTGACCTTGCAGGGCAGCTTGTGGCGCGTCGTGCATTCCGACGGGTCGTACCAGGCGAGATCGTGGTGGCCGTGCGTGAAGTTGATGTCGGTCTTGTGGAAGATGGCGGCCCATTGGAAGGGCGACCCGTGCAGCCGTTGGCACGTCGTGCAGTGGCAGTATTTGGCGGCGAGCGGTTTGTCGCGCGAGAGTTGGTACCGCGTTTTACCACAGTGGCATTTGCCGTTCCACACGGCGTGGAAGGAGTCCGAGGAGCGGTGGATTTGGTAGGGGGGTCTCTGCTTCCATTCGTCTTGGTCGGATCGCGAGGTGGATGTGTCGCCGTTTTCATGGGTGTTGGTTGATTGGTTAGTTGGGCTCGGGGCACGTTGTTGTTCTTGATCTTGGTTCTGTTGGTTGGAGGACATGGTCGTGAATGTTCGACTGATGGCAACACGAGTGAAGGGGCTGTTTTGGATGGAGCCTCTAGAAACTTGACGTGAGTATTGAGGAGTGATAGCGATAGGTCTGAGGGAACGCCCAAGAGACGGCAGGGCAAACATGTAAAAAGTGTGTAATTGGCCTTGGAAGGGGAAGGTCACTTGAAGTTGAATTTCAGAAGAAGCATGGGTAAGGGTAATCGGGAATCAGTAGAGCTCAATATCTTCCAGACGAGTGAGTACGAGCATCATAGTGCGCTATTGCAATGATGACGTCTTGGCTGTCGTGTGTCCACCACCTGAAGCTCGGGAACTGTTTCCGCTGGTAAAAAAAAGGTGTTAGAGCGGTGACGGTGCTAACCGAATTAGTATGTCCTGGCATCATAGCTTCAACCACGCATTACTTCATAGTCGTGACGTGTTTTACTTTCTTTACATAGTAGATCCTAGACGAAGTGCAGGGATAATCAACGCACTCTTATGCAAGGTACAAATCGCTAGTGACTCGGTGGACCACTTTCACAGCCGAATATCAAAAGTGCTCAACGTGTACAGCTACCTACTGGGTCCCGGTAATGGCAGCTCGAGCTTGTTTCGGCGTCAACCCCAGAGTGCTGACCAGATATTCAATGCTATTCAAGTGATTAGCTCTTGTTTCGACCTCGCCCTGGGGAAATGCACACCTAGCTTCAGAGGTAAGTTTACGCCGAACTTCGCTAAATTGCTCACGGCACTCCGCCCAGGTCTGCTCTTGTTTGTCTGGATCAATGGTCTTCAGTCGAATTTTAAAAGTCCCACTGACGGGTCTGTGGTCGCTGACACGTATTTCATGCCTTCTATACTCAGTCTGTTTGATACGTCCGACGCCTCGATATAGTATTCGGTCGCACCATGCTGGTGACCGTTTCTTCTCGCTAGAATCATATGTATCGCTGCCGACATCATATTTGTAAGTCGGTGCAAACGTGATGGGTGCCTCAACAAATGGACTCAGTCGGAAGCCAGACACTCTCCGCCTTGACAACATGATCTGATCTCTTTCAAGCAACTTTTCAAGCTCGCCTTTATTGACCATGTTGATGACATTATCTCGTGGGATCGCGTCAATTCGATAGTTGAGATCACCATTCAGGATGCAGATTTCGTGGTCAAGAATTTGGGTCCCATCGCCTCCTCCAACGTAGAATGAAGCTCGCGTATCTGGATTTCGTTCGGCAGGTAAAGACTCTGCTTCAAGTATGGTTGCAATGTCATTGTTTCGATGAGAAGTCTGCGTTTGACCTGCGGCGAGATGACAATTGATGAAGCACAGCGAGCTATCATCAAACATGAACCGTGTGATGAGTGCTCCCTTGTTGCCATAATGGCCTTTCATCCCACATTTTACCTCACTGAAGTTCACGTTCCGAATGTTGTTCTCCTCTTTTTGACGTACAAAGATACATTGAAACAGTCCGATGAGGCAAGACGTGTGTACTTCGGTATAAGAGTATCGGGGACCTGTGTATCGATTGATACACTTTCCCAGATAATCTCGCCATTCACGATACACTCGACTGACGTGCTGTTCGGACTTTGCATTCTCTTTGTCCTTTTTCTTTCCAAACCCAAAGATACTCTTTGCGGTAACAGCCCTATCTTCCAAATCGACTATCTCCTGGAAGCCGAAGACTAGGAGTTCGGGCGGATCGTCGACGTGGATGGCATCAGAAATGAAATCGCTACGGATGTCGGAAGGGTTGCAAGCACCAACGTTCCAGGTCACAACTGCGGCTCTGATTTCTCGAAAAGTGCAATATTTCAAATCATTGCGCTGCATCGCTGCTTCCAACCAATCCTCCTCGAGCATGCCATCCCACAATCGAATACAATTGTCGTGACCAATTGAAGCAACCTGCAGTCGATTGAGCGTCCATATACTGCTGGGATCAAGCAGCATTGACACAGTCGGACCATCATGCGCTCGCCAATCTTTCTTCACTTTCCACGGATTACACGAAGTGTCGTAGACATAAATTTTACCGGTCTTATACGCTGTCCATAGGTTCTCTCCTACAAAAGCAATAGCGCTGATCTTGTAGTCACTGACCTTGATAACACCAACACATGCATAATCTTTGGCCTTGTAGATGCTGACCTTTCCATCGGCATGTCCAAGATACACACGGCCATCTTGGCGACAAGTGTATGCACCGGAGGTGATGTCTCCAGTCCCGGCTTGACAAAGAGGCTGCTGCAAAATGGAAAACGAACTATCGTGGCCAGGTCTGAAGATTCTGATCTCCTTGCCAATGGCGTACCACAGCATGTCCTGCACGGTCATAGAAAAGGTATGTCCTTTGGGTACACGATGTGCATGATGGCTATGTTTCAGGCTGGGCATGCGAAATTCTTCTGCGCACCATACAAAGAGCTTGCCTTCGTCATCTAACGTCCACAAGTCTTTCCTGTTCCGGAGTATCCGAATGACCTCGCGTCGGTTGTGTACGGCGCTCGTAGCAACAACCGCTCGTGTGGCAACATCAATCTCGTGCAGCTCACCAATATTGCTTCCGATCCAGAGACGAGCACCTTCGTCTTCAGGGTTCTGTCCAGGTTTGAAAGTAATGGATGTCATCTTGACAGTCTCACCATGGCTCAGGCTAAAAATTTGTTCACCTCGAGACAAGTCCCATGCTCTGGTCACATAACCAGTTGTGCAGATGTATTGGCCACACATGTCAAAGACCCTCGAATCGAACTTCGTAGGTATCTCTTGCGCTCCTTGGTGAAATTGCGGCGGGCGGCGATTTGCCTGACTTGAGTCGGGATATTCCGATCGAGTAATGGGCAGATCCTGCTCATACTCTTGCGCCTCGTCCGAATCATCCGCATAATGTCTTTGTGTGAACTTAGATTTATGGTTACTATCTATGTTTTGCTTTGCAAAGGTTTGGTCTTGAGTTGTGCTTCCCTCAAAAGTGGTCCTCCTTGGAGGAGGCGGGAATTCGGTACGACCAGCCACTGATGGCACCGATGATTTCCTGGCTTGAGGAGCAGGTTTTCTGGATCGATCGAATGATTGAGGCGGCGGTAGAGGGTCGTGGCTGGTTGCTTGCGTTCTGGACCACTCGGTAGGCGGTAGCGGAGGAGCCCTGGGAGCGGCGTTTTCAGCTTGCGGCTCGGTAGAGCGGTTTTTTGACGTCCCAAACTGGCTCGGATCGCGCTGCACACCACTGAATCCAGAAGAAATTTTGGGGATCGCTGGTGGAGGTAGGGTTCTAGCCTGCTCTGACACATGTCGTTGCGCGGGCTTCTGCTGCGATGATGCCAGGTGTCGTGCATCTATGCTCCCAGTGATCTTGTGCGAGGAACGTTCTGAGACGGTACTCGCACGTGCAGGTACGTTCTCATGAGTCCTGGCCATCGATGTTGAGGCATTCGTACTGAAGCCGAGAGACCTTGGGTCGCGAGGCTCAATGCTTCCGGTTGGACTTGAAAACCCCATCAAGCGTGGATCTCTATTGGTCTCTCTTGATTGGGGGGAGAACGCCTCCGATCCTTTTCCACGAGTGTGAGCCTCGAACTTTGTCCTTACCGCCTCAGGTGAGGGAGGTTGGGGCGCCGTAAAGGTCGAACGTCCTGGTGAAGGACTTCCCTCGCTGCTCGGCGGAGTACTGAAAGGGGAGACACTTTTGTCCGGCTTTTCGATCGGTTCAGGGGTCAGTCGTCTACTTTCGTGTTCTGGAGGTGACTTAGGTTTGGCTGGAATTTTCGGTTTTTCTGCTCGATTCACTGCTGGTGCAATTGAAGAAGTCCGAGCAGGAAAGTGGTGAGAGGTAAGCACACCTGGCACGTGTGATGAATCTTGAGACTGCACTTCAGCACTGTTGGCTGCAGACCTTTGCGTCACCGATGGAAGCGGTGGCTGAGCGGGCAAAGTGTTGAACTTAGATATCCTTCCTGGAGCGACTGTAGCAAGTAAACGTTCAGGAGATCTTGATCCATTTCTAGAGACAGGATTCGTTCTTGGTGGTGACTTCGGAGAGTTGATTGTCACAGACGGAGTGAGCTGCGGCGTTGACCCAAAGTTCATAGACATTGGACGTTTGTGTACTTTCCTGGATGGTGATGCAGATCGAGGAAGAGGAACTCCAGGATTTCGAGGTGTCACCGGTCTCTCTCCATTACTGGCTCCTGAGGTGCTGCTCCATGACGACTGCGGCCTAGGTAGATCCAGAGAAACTCTTCCAACACTACCTAAATGCGCAGTATTCTGGTGTAGGAATTTCGACCTGTTATCTTGTGGTGATGGTACTGCTTCGCTCGAGCCTCTGGTATTCTTGAGAGCCTCAAAATGCGACAGGAGAGAGGAGACGGGCCTCTAAAACTCCGTTAGCAAGCTAGTTGTATTTCTATACGTACTCAATCTCACAATTGAAGAGCCGTCTGTTCCCTTAGTCAGTTCGTCCTCCTTGCCCGCCATACTGTCATCCCTGCCTTCGACGTCCAACTCCACCGGGCTCTCCGCCCCAACAAGCGCTTTTATAAGAGTGATCGGATGATGTACTGGTCATACAAGTGTTGAACAGGGTAAGTCGAGGTGGAAACAGGGGGTAAGAATAGTCGCCGTCGGGCACGAAGCGGTCAGTATCCGAATGGACTGTGCAAAGGCAAGCGGTAGGTCTGCAAATAGTCACACATTGCTGCTCATCGTAGCCAGCCCGGTAGAATTTCGGCACGACATAGAAATCTGTCTTGTGTCATCGCGGTGACAGTGAGGCTGATTGTGAATCGCAGGAGTGGAAGAGCGAAAGCCTCGTGAATCGTTTGTTGTGACAAGGGTTGGTTGTTGTTCGAGTTGCGGTGACCCTTGCAGGCATTCCCTTCTCCAACGGCGATCCTCCGCTCTCCAAATAACCCCTCCAAGACATTTTTTTGCTTAACCCCTTTGGGAAATATGCTGTTCAATTACTAGTACTACGTTACTACGCCTAACCGCGCGCTGAGTACTTGACGTCTTTATCTTTACAAACAATTCGGCCCAGTTTTACCCTCTCCGTCCTCTAGCTTAGCGCGCTTCGGATCTAGACTTCTCAATTGTCGTTGTCAAACTCCTGATATCGTTTCATTACAATATGTGGTAAGCCCATCACCCCTGCACCCCGAATCTACCAACGGCTGATTGTTGCCCAGCAAGCACATTTTAAATGCCCAAGTCTCAATCCGGTCTCCATGTTGTGTGTTTTTCAAGCGCGAAGTCTTTTGCTCTCTAGCGAATGATTTCAACTAACCCTTTGCCAGGCCGGAAATGGTTCGATTGTGCAGAATGCCACCAAGAACAAGCAGACCACCCACTACTGCAAAGCTTTGACATGACCTTCATCTGCAAGAAATGTAAAAAAGCATTCCGGAAAGATGCAAAGGAGTTTGAGGAGTCGTACGTCTCTCGCTTCCGGGGTCATTCCAGCCCACCAGTCGTCGTACGTTGCTGACTCTTTCATTTCAGTGACGAGTATTGTCCCCATTGCGACAATCACTTCGTGTTGGATGCTCTAACTCCAAAGGTGGCTTTGAATGTAGAAGGGGAGGATGCCAGGATAGACTCCAGGTCTGCCTTCTACAGAGTCTACCTTGGGGTTTTTGATCACTAACGATGTCCTACAGGATGATTAAAGATGAACGCGTGAAAGGTCTAGAGCAGAGATCGATATTCAACGTCAAGGATGCTGCAGACCGGCTTGGCTAAATAGACCATCAGCCTATCACCAGAAGCTCCAGAGTGATTTCCCAACATAAGCAACTTGGCTGGGAAGGGCCTCGTACACAGGAGTCACCAGCCGGGAACCTTACCATTGCACGGGGTTCTGAAAATGTATATTGATGAATTGCGTCTTCTATCATATGTACTTGTAGGGATTCATAATGCCTTTTGGATCATACAGATCCTTGATCTGTTTCATTAACCTGATCATAGTCTCGCTCCGGCTGTATCCGATATACGCCTTCTTTGCAACACCCAAACCATGCTCTGCGCTGATGCTGCCGTTTCTCTTCTTGATCCATTCATAGACCCAGGGTTCCAGGGCTTGCTCCACTTCTCTGGCATAGCGCCGTACTGCAACATTCAGGTGTAGGTTAGAGTCACCCATGTGACCATAGCCCATTACTCCAACACAGGGATGAGAATCATCTTTGCCAACAAGGCCAGCAGACGAAAGCCTCTCTCTTGTTTCTTCTACAAGAGAGTAGAGCTCTGGCAGCGGTATCGATAAATCGTATTTGTAGGTACCACCAAAATGCCCAATAGCTTCAGTGATACCTTCGCGCCAGCCCCAAAGGGAACGTACCTGTGTTTCATCCTGAGCAATGACGCCGTCTGAGACGATTTCTGAGCCCATCACCGATTCGAGGAAATGTTCTAATTTCTCGTTGTCGTGCTCTGTATTTGACCCACTGGTCTCAACTAGACAATAGAAGGGATGTCTGCCCTCAAGGGGCCTCTTGTTTCCGGTAACTTGGTGGACGTAGTCCTGGGTCTGGCCGTCCATCAGCTCGAAGGCTGACAGGATTTCAGAGAGCTGGCTTTTGGCTTCGATGTAGGCCTGCTGCACTTTTTCAAAAGATTCGAGGCCGAAATATGCCACGTTAATGGCCTTCGGACGTTGAGGACAAACGACAGAAACAGCTGTTATCAACCCAATGGTACCCTCTCCACCTATGAATAGCTGTTTCAGATCGTAGCCGGTGTTGTTCTTGCGTAGCTTGGATAGGTCGTCTACAATTGTTCCGTCGGGCAGAACAGCCTCAATCCCCAGTACATTCCCATGTAGTGAGCCATAGCGGAGTAGACGTAAGCCACCTGCATTTGTAGCTACATTGCCACCGATATGACACGATCCCTTGGCTCCAAGATCCAAGGGAAAGATGTGGTTCTTTCCCGCCAGAAAATTGTCCACGACTTCCAATATGCATCCTGCATCCACAACCAGAATTCCGCTCACCTCATCAAAGCTTCTGATGTTGTTCATACGGCTTGTTGAAATCACAATTTCATCAAATACAGGAACGGACCCGCCAACCAAGCCAGAATTGCCTCCTTGTGGGACAACTGCCAGCATGTTATCGTTGCAATATTTCAACACTTTGCTCACTTCTTCAGTTGATTTTGGCTTGACCACTAATCTTGTGTGGCCACGATATTTCCGCATCCAATCACTATTATAACCTTCCAAATCATCGCCAGCATCCCTTGTAACACCGTCTAGCACAGCCGTATCTCCTCCTAGTATGCCTTTGAAGAACTCAACATGCTCGGACGAGATTTCGGAGTACTTTGGATCGCGCTTGAGACCAGGGTATGACTCGCTAGTATACTTGATTTGCTTGGAATGCGAAGCAACAGCGTCAGTATCTGCTGTCGTCGTAGCTTCGGAAGTCTGCTGAGAAGGAACAGATCTGGAGAAGTGACGACTGAGACAGGGGATGGCTCGACCAGGGGAACGACATTGTAGGGCACCAGTCCTATGCAACTGACGCACAAAGCGAGCGAGTGCTCGTGGGCAATGCGCTGCCATTGATGTCGACGTCCTGACCTCAATTGCTCACGCCCAGAAGTTGCACCATTGAAATTTAGTACCAAGTACGGAGTACGCGAGCAAGCAAATCGCGGAAAGGATTCGGAGACGCCAAACTCTTTGCAGATACACCCCGAATTCGTAAGAGAATAGCTGAGGCTGCAAATTGCATGCAAAGTTTTCTGCACGTCTAGAGCACGATGTCATCCCACTTTTTCTGTCACCTGACCTGAAGATCCACCTACCAAATTTGGACGTATCCAGGACTCCAAGGGTCTACCGTCGCACGGCACCCATGTTCTGACTTGAGACACACAAACACCCTCTCTTCCTTTCTTAGGAAATAGTTCTAAGGTCCAGATTATCGCAGCAAAACTCTGATGTTTGAAAATGCTACCCTGGTTTTACTGTGGGGGAGTCCAAAGTCCATTATGATCCAGGCATAGGCCGTCTACACACATCTGGATCGAAGTCGACCTCTACCTTGTTTAAATAGAGGAGGCACTTCTGTTGACATGAGCTCCACAAACAGACAGAGCTCACAGCTATTAACGCCTTCGATTCCGCGACCTCCACCATCCCTCCCAAAGAACTCAAACTCATCAGTACCCACCCTCACACGCAACGTTGACCCTAGTCTATCTACCGGAGTACTTAGGGAACGACCGGGCGAGCAACCCTTGTTGCCTGCAGAAAAGGTCTACCCAATCCAGATTGGCACAGAACTGTTCCGGCTCTCCGGTGCATCCATCACTTCTGATGGTTCGTAATTTTTGCTATGTTGGAGAAGTGGATGCTAAGATCTGATAGCACCCTCTTACTTCACACATTTTTTCGAAGACCAAGTCCGGCAGACTGAAGGAAATCAGAGTATCAAAACCTTGTACATAGACCGGGACCCGACCGTTTTCCATGACATTGCTCGCCATCTCCAGGGTAGGAGAGTAACCTTCCCTAATTGGCATTGTGACTGATCTTTCCAAGGCTACTGCGTCCAACCTCTGGATGGCACTCACTACGTCAGACTCTTTGCAGACGCTCAATTCTACAGCTGTAATCCACCAGACTTCCTTGCTCATAGTACTATACTAAGCTACCCCTACAGTACCGCGCCTAATATCTCAACTATTCTCCTCCGAAATCTTCATCCAAATCGGCGACCACAACTTCCAAGTCCCTCGCGACATCTTCTCTTCCCCTGGCGACTCCCCCAACTTCTTCACCCTAGGCTTCGGCCTCTTCTTCGCCACCCGAGAGGAGACCTTCCCAGGCCTCGACCGCACAGGCCTGCTACGCCCTCCTCCCATTGCTTCACCTTGCGTCCCCTCCCGCTCCGCCAACGTCTTTTCCCAACTCCTACATCTCCTCCGGGGTTATCCGCTACGGATCGAGAACGAGGATCATCGTGCTGAACTGTTGAGGGATTGTCGGTATTTCCACCTTAGAGGGCTAGAGCAGAAATTGATCGCACATGAGATTACTTATAATCCCGAGCGACAGACTTTGGAGATCTTACTGAGGCTGGACGATGTGAAACCGAGCGGTATCTCCTTCGTTCAGGACGAAAACAAGAACATCCCTTCAAGTCTTTCTGTCAATGTTACCACTGGCTGGGTCCACTACGCTCGCCCCTTTGTCGATGAGACTCCTCTCGAATTAATTCTCGAGATCGGCTCAGATCATACCATCCTTAATCTCGGACCCAATGGCAAGAACCAAGCTATGTTCCATGGTCTGACCAAAGCAAGAGTCTCTGCTCTGCTGCAGGTTGTTGCTGGCAAAGTCGGGACGCCGCTAAGTATATCTGCGGAAACCATGGTCAAGTTCATCATGGATACGACCACAGACCTCACCTTAGATGGGAAGCCAGCTGATGCAGTGAGGGAATCTAAAACTACGCAGATAGCTGAGCGCATAGGCACGGCCATGTCTCCAGAGAGCAAGAAACGGAAGCTGGATGATGGTCTTGAGTCTGTGGTTCGGGAATGGAAGGTCAGAACTGGTCAATGGAGATTGAGGGTCCAGCAAGAGGCTGGCAAGAATGGTGCAGAGATCGTTCTGGTGGCGGTCAAGGTTGATGCATTTATGTGTGAGAGAGCGAAGAATGCTAGAAGGAAGTTTCTGAGTTGATGTTCTCTCCCGAAAAGCGCTCTGCTAACAACTTTGATGTGGATATAACTCGGCATGGCTCTTCGTTCAAATACTGCCCACAAAAATACCTGTCTTCTACCCGTCTTCATCTGCACTAAACCCATTCCATTCTTCCTCATCCTCTTTCATGTCACCGTTTGCTCCGGGTCCGACATCCTCCAGTTCCTCAACCGTCTTCGGATCTCTCACAAATCCCACTACAAAGAATCCGATCGTTCCATCCTCACCACCTGGTCTACATCTGATGCAAGCCTCCCTAAAGCCACTTCTCTCCTCACTCGTCATCGCATTCCAAATCTCCTTAACAGCCCCTTCGGTCCCCTCTACATCCAACTCATCCCCTCTATGCGGCCAAACCCTGAGACCATCGGGTTGTTCACCTCTTCTCAAGAGCCGCCAGCACCTGCCTCTAGCTACCGTAGAGTTCAAGGCTCGTAAGACCACGACCTCGTTTTCCTGAGCGTGGATGCTGCATGTTGAGTAGGTCACTATGGATGCGTTCCGGAAAGCAAATGCATGTTCGAGCATTCGGGTCTGGAGGTTTGAAAGTCTCTGGAGCCGGTCTGTATCGATGTTCGAAGATGTGGTTGGAGGTGTGTTCACTTCGGTATCCTCAGATAACTCTTGCGGCAAGATATCTCTTTTTCGCTTGTTTGAAGATTTAGGAATACCGTTTCTGGTACCGTTCCCGTCTTCCACCTTGAAGTTCTCGTCTCTCCTCCTTCTTGTGTCCTTCGGCAAGACGAGTGTTGGGAGATCTTCTCTGCCCAAGATACCGCTGCCAGAACAACTAGGGTCGAGCAAAAGATGCGTAACATTGCTGAATCTCTTTCCCTGTGGATCTAGAGCTAGAAAATCTTGCTTCGCTAGGACTTTCACCATGCCTTGGGCGCCCGCTCGGTCGAGCATGCTCTCTAAGGTCTTCGATCTTTTGGGATCACGTTCACAGGCAAATACCACGCGTTTACGCGGTGCAGGGCGAGCAGCAAGATTGAACTTCTTGGCAAGGATTGAGGCAAGATGGGACGATTTGTTTCCTGGGGCTGCGCAACCATCAATCAAATCAGCGTCATCAGCCCTATTAGCGCATAGAGACAGTTTCGGGTTTGAATCCAAGATTAGATGGGCAGGGAAACACGACGCCTTGTCTTGTAGAAGGATTTTTCCTGCTTCGTAGGCTGCAGTTTGAACAAGCTCTTTCGTAGGCACATTCGTTGCCAGCAGGTCTGGGATATTTGGATCCCGAAAATATGCTTTTCTTGTCCCTGTATCGCCACACAACCGACCTAGTGTAGAACATACTGCGAAAGTCGCAAAGGTTGTCCTGAGCTCTTCCTCGAGATTGGTCTTCAAATAGTTAATTCGGACCCACCGGGGCTGTTGGAAGCCTTTTTCAAATGTCCTCTTTTGGGCACTAACATGTAAGCGGAGATCCTCGAGCGTTGCGCATTTTCGACGTAGTCGAGCTTTGGTCAGCTCTGAAGCTAGGCGTGCCTTGTGGCGCTCTATTGCAAGCCGAAGAGGGTGATTCTGTGGACAAGCAATGCCCCGTCTGGAAAGAAGGTGGTCATGGACGAGGAATATTGCCAGGAGCGGAGTTAGCTAGACCGAATGCTAATGTGTCAGTCAGCAGAGCTACGAGCGACTACGCGGGTTTGGGCATACCTTTGGTTCTTGTGATATGATGCCCGTATTGTCAATGATCTCCGAGAGTACGACATCCCATTCGGCGCAACCTGTAATGAGACCATACAAAAGGGAGGGAGGTGACTTGAGGGGCGTGTTGCTGTCGTAGACACGCGATCTGAGCGACCCTCTTGAAAACGATGAAGATAATATATCAGCCGCCTCATAGTACAGAGCCATGTCTGTGTTCCGCCGTCAGTAAGGTACGGGCGAAGCAGAAGCTTTGACCTTCGCTTTGACCTTTCATGCTCTGGCGTCTTTTGGCAACAATAGGATGGCCCAAGCTCAATCGGGCCGGAACGCTGCCGGATCAACGTATTTCGACATATATAGTACTACTACTAGTAGTACAGTATGAGGCAGAAGTACTGTATTGTTAGCACGGTGCTAAGAATAACTAGTTCTGATCCGTCTCCACACCCCATACTAGAAGCTATTTCTTATGCCCACCCACACAAATCAGCAAATTAGATCTTATGCTCATCTTATAGTGGAGAACGTCCTGCACGCAACGACGGTACAAGAGCGCGCACTGGTACAGCCTTGAAGAGCCTGTTGGGAGTGGTTTCCAGAACGAGCTCCATAGTGGGATACAAAGCAGTACCATGCAATCTCCACCCTTTTACTGGTTAGAGCATCGCAAGCACCGCCTTCCGCAGTGTCTGTATCTCATTCGATTCACAAATTTTTACCCCATCTCCTACCACACTACTTACGCTTTCTCAAAAGGGCGCAGCCCCTGCTGCGAAACACACTAACTCAATAAATTAGGTAGTACAGTTGCTTATCGTGAAACAAGTCAACTGAATGACAGGCTGAAGAGTATGTACTACATGAGGCTGTGTCTCATGGACCGAAATTGCTTTTTATGCCTTACTTCGGCTTGGCTCTTCCTTTTTCTTTCCGCTAAATCTACTTTGGAGGACTCTTAGCCCAGCCAATTTGATCTTACCGTGCCTACATTGTTATATTGATATTCGAGGAAACATGGTTCAGTCGAGGATCTGTCTCTTACTTCTATGCTACCAGCTTCTTGATGTAGTGGATGCACAGGGGAATTTTACCAGTTCCACACCTTCAGTCCCCGCAGCTAGCGATTTCATAAGGCGCTCGTGGCATTCTTGTAAGAGCCGTGCTACCATTTCCCCGGACCTGTCGATAACCAATGTCTAGCCATCGTGGTTGGGAATTTTCTGTATATTGATGGAGGAGATCTCTGGCAAATGGTCGATGGCATTATGCTCTGGGGCCCGAGTAAGCTCATTCGTTGCGGCAAACCTACAGTTCTGACCAGTGGTAGATACTAAGACATTGTCTATCGACCTCACGAAGTCATGGACAAATACTACAGTTGAAATGAATCCGATTAATAAAACGATCGAATCATGGGATGAAGCATATCTCTGGCCGGACTCTAGTCGCTCTTCGTTCTACCAGTGGGGCGGGTCAATTTCAACTAGAAAAGTGCCTCCGATCGTCGCAGCATCTTCTCTTTGCAAATTTGAACCTGATAACCGTGGAGGAGGGGAGTGGACAGAGCTAGGACATGCCTCCAACTCCATTTTCCGAGACCTTCGACGAAGCGTTAGAGGAGCTACAGCCAGCAGAGATGACATCTGGTATATGGTAGGGGGAGCCACACATTGTTCTTCAGATCGAAGCATCAGCGAGTGCAGTACATTTACAAGCCTCGGTCCCATCATTTCATACAACTCAACATCTAATCTCTGGACCAACGACTCTGCTCAAGATTTCACTGGGTCCGAAACTGCAATTTTTAGTGCCATGCACAACGTCCCTTTCGGTAGCTCGGTCGGCCTTAATGTCATCTTTGGTGGAGGGACAACATTTTCGGGCAGAACCAGCGACACATATTACCCTACCAATCTCCTCGATTTCCAGCACATATACATATACGATCCTATTACAAAGACATTTCATAGCCAGACTGCCACGGGTCCGCGGCCTAGCCCACGCATTCAATTCTGCTCAGTCGGGACTCCGGGTGACAACGGAAGCTATGAGATTTTTGTCTTCGGAGGATATGAGCAGTTAAATATCACAAGTAATGAGGTTTACGTTCTATCGTTACCCGCGTTTGTTTGGTTCAAGGCAGATCATACTGCGACCAGCCCGCGACGGGCACACGAGTGCAATATTGTTGGCCAAGGAGGTAGTCAAATGGCCGTCATAGGAGGAATTGATATATCGTTTCCCACTGGCACAACGAGAAACTCACCAGACCCATGGACCAACGGCATCAATGTCTTCGACCTCAGCGCTATGCGCTGGAAAGATACTTACGACCCAAATAACCCACCTTATCAAAGCCCTTCCGTGGTAAGAGACTGGTACACAAAGAATGGTTCCTCTCCCCTTTGGGACTCTCCAGCAGTTGAGAGACTTTTTCTCGAGGCAGTTACACCCACCACCACGCCTGTGCCACCATCTGGGTTAAATCAATCCGAGATAGGTACGCCGCCGTCGGATGGAAAACCTAATGTAGGTGCCATTGCAGGAGGTGTCGTCGGTGGTGTCACAGTGCTGGCGGTCATTGCGTTTGTGATGCATTATATATTCAAAAAGCAAAGAACGGATAGTGAGAGCAATGATTACCGCAAGCCAGAGCTTGAAGCCAGTGTCAGCAATTACACCACGGAATCAGCACACCAAGGAAGAACCGTTCGCGAGCAGCAGCATCCGCAATCCACCTTGTTGGAGCTACCGCAATCCGCCTTGTTGGAGCTACCGCCTGCTGACGATCGGTATGAGGCGGACAGTGGAAACGCAAGATGATGATACCAGGTGTCAAGATTCAAACTAATGCTGGACATTCACGACTTCGATGTAGCGCCATCAGTCCCTAAATGGCTTGGCTAGTTATGGGGGTCCGAGATTGTGAGAGTCTGACTCTCATCTTTGCGTACGCGACGTTGCATAGGGGAGGCATTAGATTCTGACAAAGTTACCGTGGTTGAACTTGACGTTCTCGGGCTGCGTTTCTTGTGTTTTGATACGCAATGCCTGGCAGCAACTGTTCGTATTGGTGTTCTATCTGGGTACTTGGTTGAGGATAGGCCTCGAAGAAGGAAAGAGAAGTAGAGATAGCAGGGTAACAGCGCTATGCCCAATCAGGACTAGCCCTAGTGGCTTGATCCCCCCTGCCTATGACATGGATGGGGATGAAGACATCGCATCATCGGATAGTTTAAGGCGATTATGCCAACATTGTTCTTAGGGCAAAACAGTAGTCCTTCAAGATCAGTTTCGATTATGCTGACAAGATCGAAAGAGACCAGATGTAGCACCAGGTCTGAACTGTGGTAATCGTGATACCAACGTACGGTATTGCCTGAAAGTGTGAGTAGCCCGTGGCTATGTGCACTACTCATGTTGCTGTGGAAGTTTGCTCACAGAATAGAGGTCGGAAAAGTTGGTCCAGGGACCTCTTCTCTTCTTATGCTGCTCTACAGCCTGAAGATCGCTGATAGTGCTTGCGGTCATGTCAAATACACTACTGGCGTGCTCATCGGCGTCCTGGATCAAACTGACGATCGGTAGGGTCCCGAAGTATAACCCCTAGGAATGCCAATGACCTAGTGAAGCGGGTTCCACCATTTAGGTTCGACATCTTGATAGGGACCATGTATTCTAGTATCGAATAGGCTATGTGGGACGAATGGAGATAGCCAGTTGTTCTTTCTAAATAAGGGGCAGCGAGCGCAGATATAAGTACAAACTGCTGTGTCGTACAGCGAAATTAACAGCGAAATTGGAGTAGAGAGTGACCAATCAAAAGCAGATGAAACGCAGGGATTACGCGTGTTGATGCGCGGTAGGAAGGGGCAAATGGGCGGTGGGGACGGGCCCGTTGCTGATGCACATGTGGATGAGGGTTCCGTTGCGGCGACGGATGTTGGCAGCCTGGTCGCTGCATTCGTCGATGGCGGTCTTGATGTTAAGAACCATTTTTGGAGCTGT